CCCCACTGCTCAGCAGTAGTGGGGGGACCCAGCCAGAAGAACCAACAGCCAGAAAACAACCACCGCTGCTGCCCCCCAAAACCCACCATTGCTCCCCGCACACTGTGCGACCTAAAAAGCCAGGAGTAAATGGGATCTGCCCACCGCTGGCGTCTGCGATGAATGCCATTTGTTTCCCAACGTTCAGCCTCACCACTGCCCTGCGGAGGTGAGCTCATTACTATTTTATGCCTGTTTCACAGATAGGGAAAGCAAAGGCCAAAGCAAACAGTTTCAGAAGCACTTGCGTATGATTTGCTGTCGCTCTGGGGATTCCCAGCTGATGGAACTGAATCACTAAAACTCCAAAGCAAATGCATACAATTAAAAGAAAAGAAAAGAAAAGAAAAAAAAAAAAAAAGCAGTCAATTTTTGGAGCATAGGTGAGAACCATACTGCTGGCCAAAACCACAGGTTGACCTTGCTCTCCCTTCTCACAGATTACATGGAAGTCTTTTGTCAGAAGACCTCAGGATGCAAGCTGCCATTGGGAAGCGCTCGAGGACCCAGATAACTTTTCTAAAAGGCAGAACAATTACTTCTGTGTAACCATATGAGGCTTCACCTCCTGATTATCACCATTTCTATCAGCAGAGCATTGCTTAGCCACCTCCCTTCAAAAGGCACTTTGAGATGCAAGGTGTAATATACATGTAAATTATCATTAAAGTATTCTCTGTTTAATTGGGGCATTTCAGATTGGGGCTGCTGCTTTAATGGGTTGCCTCCCAGGAAACTGACTTTGCCTATAATGACACAGTGAATAGTAATGACCAGTGTTTAATTGGGACTGTGTTAGTAAAATTTGGCTTCAGAGGGATTAAATTTAACCGGTGCCAAGGAGTTAAGTGATTAATCAGACGTTAAATACGTACGTACTTCTAAACTGGTCTTCTCCCATTCAGTCCTACACCCTCTGAACTTAATGGGAGTTTTGTCATTGACACTAAGACAAGAAGGATCAGCCTCCTAGTACACACGTTCACTAATAAACATTAAGAAGCATACTCCCTGCTAACAGATACTCATCCATGGTTAAGGGTAACAGGATTCTGTTTGCCTGGTGCTCAACAGTCCCTGCTCAGCATGGGAAGCTTTAGGTGGGAGAGAATTATTCACAAAAACATCATGCTGTTAATGAAATATTAGGAAACATAAAGCACTACTTAAAATTAAAAAAAATAAAAATAAAAATCTGGGGAAGCCAGTTAAGGTTGAAAGCTCAACTACCATGCTGATTCTTTGCCCTTCGGCTTACATGAGCAGTCTTTTTTTCCCCCCTATTCCTTTTTTTTTTTTTTTTTTTAAACATTTACAAAGTACATCCTTGAATCTGAAACGAGCACTGGTGAGACGAATCCTCAAGCTACAGGGTTGTGCCAACTCCTGCAGGGTCTGTGCAATCACAGGGGCTCACTGCAAGGGAGAGCGCTCACATCCACCAGCACACAGCTTCACAAAGGCAACGCGACACGGAAGCCAGTTGTGAAACCTGACTCACAGGAAAGCTCCACACATTCAGTGCTGCCCACAGAAAGCACACAGCTCAAACGTCTGCTAGACACATGCAGGGGAGTTTGGGCTTGGAGAAGCCCTGGTCTCTGGGATCTGAAGCAGCTGAGCCCCTGCACATTCCCGGTTTTAGTTCCCCCACAACTCCACGCTTGTGCCAACACACTTGTTTGTATGGTCACATGGTAAATCAGGCTAAGGAAATTAAAGTGCCAGGTTTATTTTATAGATATAGTAACTGTGTGTCTTTATACATATGAGACTATTGGCTTTCGGGACCCTTCTATTTGCCTGCTGAGTTCTGAGCCCCCATATGATAGCACAGCGATATTCTTAAGGTATTACTATTTCAATGGAAGAAAAAAAAAAGAGAGACCCTTACAATCAGAAAGTTCCAGGTGGGGTTTTAGACAGACCTCATTACCACATGGATCCTAACTGATCACAAAAATCACTATCAGTGTCCAGGCACCAAGCTTGTAGCCCTGGCTCCTGTGTGCCTTTGCTCTGGTGTAATAAGCCTTTGTCAAGATGTTTGTGCTCTCCCCATGCCTCGTTTCTCTTGGCTGGAGGACAAGAGGCAAAGCCGTAAGGGTCACTTGCTCATATGGTAGGGAGAGCTGGGGGAACATCGTGACAGTATATATGATAATGTATCTGTTAACTACTAAGGCTCAGGAGCAGAGAACAGGTTTGCTACTGCTGTAACATCCCAACAGCAGGGTCAAAAAAGGCATCCAATAACGACAACCAGACTACATTTCCCTTCTCAGCCTGCTTTGGAGTCACAGCCCTTGGGCTGTCCCAGGCTGGAGTATGTCACAAGCCGAAAGCCTACCAGTTCCCAGCAGCAAGCCTGCCAGTGCCTGACGTTGTAGCCAACACCAAGGGCTCTGCCTCCACGCCAACCTCTGAGCCCCAAAATGCTATTTCCAGAATGCCAGCAGAGACCGCTCCCTTAGCTGCACACCCTTCACGCAGACACTCTGCTGCCTGCCTCACCAGGCCAGCGGGGCTCCCGGGGCTGCCTGCCATCAGGAAGGCACGCACACACCGAAGCGCTGGCAAGAGCGGGATGTCAGCCCTGTGCTTCTCCTGGAGAAAGAGCTAGTGCAAGTAAACACACACACACACACACACTTGCCGCAAAGCAAACACGTATCAATATACAATTGCACATACACACTGATAAGTACTTGACATGAACCGAGATATTACTGCAAGTTTATACTGATTGCAAGCAGCTAAATACATACCGAAATTTCACCTCCTCAAAGTTTTCCTAAATCTTATTAGAGTGCCTCTCTAATAAGGTAGATAGGGAGACCACGCATGGAGCATCCCAGCATAAATGGAGCTCTAGCCTTTACTCCCTTCGTCGAAGCTTTCCATGGTTCATCACCCCAGCTGCTGTGGAATCTACTGCACACAGTCTTGCCCCATGTCAGGGGAGGGGAAAAAGAAAAGAAAAAAAAAACACAAACAAAACACAAAATACATCCACCAGCACCACCGCTTCCAGTGCCCGGGCTCTTAATGAAGCACTGCAATACTCTCCCAGCACACTTGGCTACTCCTCAGGGCAGCACAGCCACACCACAGCATGGCTCCTGCTCACTCCTCCGCCTCTGCCCCGCGCTGCGCAAGCTGGATTGGCGCGCTGGGAAATAACGCATCCTACTTGTACAGTCACACCATGGCTTCAACAACTCCCCTCCAGTCCAGCTGCTGATCGCAACCAGGTTCCGCACGGGCTGGCTGAAACAAGCACCCCAAAAACCAGGGGTGAGTGAAAAACTGAAGGGAAAGTTATCCAAAACAGCTCGGTAAAGAAATGTTACCATCTGAAATACGCATTTCTGTCCGAAAGCTTATACTTCCCATATTTGAAACTATTAAAATCATCACCAGGAAAGAAGCCAAAGAAAACTTCTCCCCACTTTCTCCTCTGTCCCCCTTTCAACTTTTTCCTCCATTCCAATTACTCTGCTTTTCCCGGCCCTCAGGACACCCTCTGAAGTACTTCACCTGGACGGTAGTTCCTGTCTCTCTACACAAACAGCTGCAAGAGTCGGCACATAAAGAAAACGCACGCTACGAAGTAAGTTCAGACTGCACTAAGTTCAGCACGACACTTGAAATAAGCAGCAGGACATGTAAACATGAAGTCACGGAAGGTTTGAGGTTGGAGGGGACCTCTGGAGATCACCTGGTCCAACCCCTGGCAAGCACGGTCACCTACAGCATATTGCACAGGGTCGCATCCAGGTGGGTTTGGAGAACCTCCAGAGAAAAGCCTACTTAAATGTTAAGAAAAATTGGCATATAAACATTTTGGGGCTCCAAAAGATGTATCTGTCCTGCTAGGTAGCTAATCACCTTTGATAAGACTATTATGTACCTTAGGGTTAGGGAAGGAGCAGCATTACCAGTAAGAGCAGAAGCAAGCCTCCTATTTTCAAAACGCCCCATTTCTAAAATAAGGAAACACAACTCATCCGCCGCTACTTTTTTTGTGTATGACATTCGCCTTCTCGTGCCTACACCCCATGTTCCCACAGGATCCACCAAGGAGAAAGAAAATTAAAAATAAAAAAGCAACCAAGCAGCTACGTTTCACTTTGTATTTACCGGGATTTGCCTAGGCTGTTGGACACAGAGGGTGCTCCACGGCCCCACGCCGCCCCAAACTTGGGTGCCTCTCTAGTGCAAGCTGCCGCCACCCGCCGTGACCCCCAAAATAGAGCCAGGCAGGCAAGCACCGTGCAGCGAAGCCGTCCGGGTGCTCGCGTCCCGCTGGAGGCTCTGGCGGCCACGGGCAGGACGGGGAGCGCCCGGCCGGGGGAAGGAGAGGGGAAAGGGCTGCCACCAGCGGGCTCCTGGGCACACATGGAAAAGAAAAGGGAAAAAAAAAAAAAAAAAAAAGGCAGCCGGGTTTTGTTCCCATTGTCTCCGCTCCTGACACCGGGAGCCGCAGCCAGAGCTGGGCACGGCCACCGGCAGGGAATAAAGCGAGGGGAAAGAGTGGGAGGAAGCAGGGGGAAAAGGAAAACATAATTTTAAATGAAATAAAATAGAAGCCCCAGCCCCCCCCCCCCGGCAGCGCCGCCGAGCGCATCCCATCCCCGTCCCCGGGCAGCAAAACTTTGCGCGAAGTTGGCGGCGGGGGGAAAGGAGCACGCAGGGCGCCCGCTGCCGCCTCCCGCCGCCGCGGGGGGAAAAACAGCAGAAAAGGGCAAAATCTTGTTATTATTATTATTAAGAATAATGATAATGAAAGGAACACGCGCGGGGCAGGGCCCTCCGTGCGTAAACACAGCGCGGGAGGGTAGCACGGGGAGAGCCCCCCACTGACCGCAAATAATAAAAATGATTTAAATAAGGAAAAAAAATAAAAATTAAAAAAAAAAAAAAAAAACAGAAGGTTTGTTTTTTATTATTATTTTTACCTTGATGAAACACTGGGCAGCGGCCTCAGACATCTTTCAGCCGGAGCGCGGCGCAGCGCGGCGTAGGGGGAAGTTCTCTCGGTTCTTTTTTTTTTGTGTGTGTGTGTGTGTGTGTGCGTGTTTTTTTTTTGCCTTCCCCCTTCCTTCCCCCTTCCCTCCCCCCCCCCAAATTTCCGCTCCTCCGCCGGCCCCTCAGCGGGAAGTTGCTGCCGCCGCCGCCACCATCGCCCGGCGGCGGGCGCGGCCCGGGGGTGGCGCCGCCACCGGAGCCCCGTCCCCGGCCCTCGTCGGGGGGCGCCCGATCGCTGCCCGCCCCCTGCCCGCTGCCCCCGGGCTCTGCGTGCGTGTGCGGGCCCGGGCGGGGAGGGCGGGGCCGGGCGTCCCGCCCGGCCCCGCCCCCTCACCGCCCGGCCCCGCCCCCCTCACCGCCCCCTCGCCGCTGCCCTGTTCCGCATCCCCGCAAGCGACGTCGGTTCCCGGCAGCCGGCCCCGCCCCTTAAAGGGGCCCGGAGGCCCGCGGTGCGCGGCAGACAACAACAGCCTTTGTTCTGCCGCCGTCGACAAGGCCCCTTTAAGGGCCCTCACCAGGAAGTGCGGCGGTGGGCACGGGAAGGGCGGGGCGGGGCGCGGCGCAGGCCCGGTTCCCTCCCCCGGTTCCCCCCCCCGCGGTGCCCGCTCCGTGCCGGGCGCGCCGCCCCCTCCTCGCGGGGCTTCCCCTCGGCCGCCTGTTCCTCTGTCGCTGCTTTTTTTTCCCACTTGTTTCCCGGTGTCCCCTTTTCCCCCCGTTTGCCCCCCGCGGGCGCTGAGCCAGCCGTTACCGCCAGCCCGACACCCACTACAATGAGGGGAAAGCTGCTTCAGCTGCCAGCTCCCCTTCAGCTTTGCCCCGTGTGGACATCGCGCAGCACAGAAGGGACGTGCGTTAGCTTGTATTGAACCTCCAGCAGGCTCCCAGCTAGGTTCCTTCCCTCTCACCGAGAGGCTGCTGCTCAGCTTATCTCCAGGGAGGATCCTTTAGCAGGATTTACCATCCCACAGAGACACCTTTAATAAACGCCCTAGCCAGAAATTCCCTAACTTTTTGCTTGCGTTGGTGGCAGCGATACTAATTCAGGCAAAAGGTAACCACGTTTTGGCCTGTAAGATGACACCGAGTTCCTGCCTTTCTCAGAGCTCTCCCAGGAAAGGGAGATGGATGAGGTGTTGGGGGGCAAGAGCAAGAAGAGAAAACCATGAAACAAAGCATGTTCTTCCTCCTCGTAGTGGCCTGGAAATCTGGGTTTGGGAGCTCATACTTTCCGGTCTAGAGTTTGTCCCTGAAAATAGAGCAAGCCCTGCAGAAAAGAAAGCAAAACAAACCTTTCTGTGGGACTTTAATTTTCAGTCCACAGCATTGTATCTGCAGACCAGCTTCCACCGATTCTGTCACCTGGGCCTCTCTTACAGCCCTGAGACTCCACATGTCATCCTACATCCACTTTCTCAACAGCTGGGCTAATTCTCTCAAATGTCTCTAAATGATGTTGGAACCTGTTTCCCAAAGGAGACTAGACACTGGGGAACCTACATCCAGCTGAAAGCCAAGGTTTTCATTTCTCCTTTTGTGTACTGTTTTTTCCAGTTTCAGCAGCATAGAGCAGTACCTCAGACATATGCAACAATCACTGATTTCACCTCATTTCTTAATAAGGGAACATTGTTCACTTTTTTTTTTTTTCCTCCTTATATTTGCAAAGGCACCCATTAGTTGCTGGTGCCAGTAGTTATCATTAACTTATTGTACTGTGTCTCTGCTGTTATCTTTTCCTTGCTTTTATCTTTGCCCAGTGAACCTTAACTGACTCACTTATTTGGTGGTTGCTTCTTTGCTCCTGTTTTATTAGCAGTTTTATTTTCACCTTCCAAAGACTGAGCATACACAAAGAGCCACTTGATGCTTTTTTCTCGTTTAAGTTATCTTGGATGGAAAAAGGTGTGCTGTGCCTTCAGTACTCCCTCTGCTAGGGCCTTGCCCATATTCAGGTTTCCTTCTGCCACTCACCTCTGCAGATCCTGACCTTGCAGCTGGGTCTGCTGACGTTTATGTGACGCAACAGAGATTACTCTTAGAGGTTTAGGCACAGGATCAGGCTCTTAAGGAACAAAACACAGTTGGAGACGGTAGTAAGTTCCAAGAATGTGAAATCAATTGAGGCATACATTGATGTTAGCATGCAACAGAGTTTTTGATCCTCAGGAAAAAACAGGAAATCCATGAGAGTTGGTGCACAGATGTGCTTTGGTAAGGGATCGCCATTGCACATTTAGCACTAAGATTCTTTTGTCCTTCCCAAATTGGTTTCTGAAACTGAATTGCATTTTATGACCCTAGTGTGCATCAGTCACGCTGCTTCTCATCATTTGCAGTAAGATTACCTTTCACTTCGTATTCCCAGACAAGTCCTTTTTCCAAGATTCAGCTAGGCTAATGTTTCCTGTGGTAGAAGTCTCTAATCCTTGGCTTTTTAGGAATATACATGAAATTCAGTCTGAAGTGTTAGAGTGAGAAATGCTGTATCCATCAGAGGTCTTCATATAGCTTTCCCATTTGGAAACCCATGAGAGTTAAAATTGAAATACAAAAATCCTGGTGTGACACCTATTCGTCCATCAACCAATACATGTAAAAAATAACCCTAAACATGCTTGATGCTCTAAGGCATGCCATCCTCACACATTGTCACATACTGGATTATTTTGAATCACCCAGTATGTTGTGCCTGTAAATAAGAGAAACAGTTTTCTGCTGCTGTGAAAATGAACATTGTGGTACAAAAAAAGGGGAAAGGGGACTGCAGATTGTACTCATTTAACTCCTCTTCAATATTCAAACCAGTGCAACTTCTTCTGAGAGATGAGTTTATGGTTACATTTGGGGAACAGATTTTTTTGCACAAGTCACATCGTAGACTCACGTTGACAGTGCTGCCTCTGGAATGTACTTGGATGTTGCAGCACTTATGACACCGACAGGCAGTGAGTGGCCCTGAGAGAGCTCCCAAGACAACTCAACTCCAGTAACAGCAGCCCAGCAATAGCTAACCTGAAATATCCGATTGGGTTAAACTGAGTGCAACCACAGTGGTTATAAGCAAAGCCCTCAGCTACCTCTTCTGGGGTACTGGTGAGAGCATAATGCCACAAAACAAAGCTTGCAGGACTAGCACCCCATAGCAGTGCCCCATCCCATGCTGCAGGTCGTAGCACACCCTCCTTTGGCCACACCATCAACTGCCTTTAGCAGTGTGAGAAGGTGCAACGAATATATCATATGTGTGTGTGTCTGTGTGTCTGTCTGTCCTTGTATGCGTGCACAAGTGTGTTCACACCTAGCTCAGTTCCCCGAACTGCTCGCTGTGGTGCAAGCAGGTGGGGACTGGCAGGGGTACTGTGAACTTGTGGCCGTGCTGGGTTGTTCACACAAACCCAAGGGCAAAGGGAAGTCCTTTGCCAAGGACGGCTGGCGTGTAGACCATCAGGGCCTCCTCTTCTCCTTCCCAAGCCACAGGAGGAGGGGAAGCCATAAAGAAGGATCAGCCAGCCCAGCAGAGCCTGATCCTTTCTGGGAGCTGGAGGAGGGAGCCTGGGAATCAGGCAGCTAAAAGCCCCTGAGCTGTGGCTGCCACTGTGGTGTCAGGACAAGAAGGGGAAGCAGCTGAGAGGAACCGGGGAAAGACTGCGGAGGGAAAATCAGTAGCACGGAGCAGCAGAGGAACCAGGGTAGGTGAAACCTCCCTGTTTGACCTAGTTTAGCAGGGGTGGTTGTTTAAATGGAATTTAAATCTCTGCAGATATGTGGGAAACTTTCTGACATCACCTGAAGATGTGCAGTGGTAGGACTACGCAGGTCACATACCCACACGTGCACAGCCAAAACCATGTCCGAGGCCCTCAATGCCACAGAAAGATTTCCACATGTACAGGCTCCACAGGGGACATAAAAACACTGGTAAATGAGGTAAAGCACAAAGGGGTACAAAAACCAAGAAGACAGTTCTGCAGTGCACTTGGTCTCCAGCTACAGATTTCAGACATAAACTGTACCTGCTTTGTTTTCACATAGTCTGAAACTGTGAAGTGTATGTCAGTATTGCCAACTTCAGGAATTTGAAATAAGTTAGTTGCCTCCCACCTCAATATCACAAGATTTTGAAGGAAAGATTGTTTTGAAAAAAATTGTAAATTGCATATGTCTTCATTTTCTTATCTCACATCTGGATTTTGTTTCGTAAAGTGCATTTTCAAACTTATTCCCCAAATTCTGAATGCTAGAAAACTTTTTGGTCTTTCTTTCTCTCTTCTCTTCTCTTCTCTTCTCTTCTCTTCTCTTCTCTTCTCTTCTCTTCTCTTCTCTTCTCTTCTCTTCTCTTCTCTTCTCTTCTCTTCTCTTCTCTTCTCTTCTCTTCTCTTCTTCTCTTCTCTTCTCTTCTCTTCTCTTCTCTTCTCTTCTCTTCTCTTCTCTTCTCTTCTCTTCTCTTCTCTTCTCTTCTCTTCTCTTCTCTTCTCTTCTCTTCTCTTCTCTTCTCCTTTCTTCCCTCTTCTCCTTTCTCCCCTTTTCTCTTCCTTCTTCCTTTCCTCCTTATTTATTCTTCCCTCACTCTCTTCTTCTCTGCCTGACCCTTTCACATTTAATTACATGAATCATACCAGGAGAATTCAGGAACAATAAAATAGATGACAAAACTCAAGGTTAAAGTAGAAAAGCCATCAAGCTGTATGTTGTTACTGCAAAGCATTCTAAAAAAAAAAAAAAAAAAAAAAAAAAAAAAAAACCAAACAAACAAACAAAAACAAACAAACAAAAAAATATATATATATAATAAAAAAATAAAAAGAAGAAGCTGAAGGTGTAGAGTTCATTCTGTGTCAGATAAGCCCAAACTGATTTACATTTTACAGGTACTATGGCTGATTTTTCTTTCTCCAGCTCACTTAGCTCGGCTGAAGAGGTGAAGAAAACTTTTCAAAGCCTAATCCCCCCTATTAGTAATATTTTCACAGTCTGGTTCCCCTCCTCCTGCCCTTTTTCTACATCTATTTCTCCACAGGGTGTCAGGATTACAGTGCTCGTACCCATTCTGAATTGTGGTGCATACTCTGTAATCCATGTCATTGTAACTCTATATCTTGCTAGCAGTAAAAGTAAAGTAAAACATAAATTGTTTTGCTGCCAGATTAACATTGTCTAGTAGATTTAATGCTCATAATCTAATGTGAGGAATAACATTATATTAGCAACAGCAGTCAATCTACTTACAACAATTGCTCAGCATTGCTGAAAAATAAATAAATAAATAAATTATCCCTGCATTT